ATTCCTGCAATCCCTAACAAGCCCGATCGCCTCCTTGGATAGTCAGCTTTTGGCAACCACAGACGGCAATTCGGTACCCCCACCCAGGAAGACTGAACTTACTCAACTCTCTGAGGTTTCCTAAGTGAGGATGTGCAACAGCTTTTATTTCACGCTTTCTACTGCGAACAGCATTTTGCTTGAGGTTAGCCCTTGTCTAGCTTCTCAACATGTTCTTGCATGAGAAAAATATCACAGAGCAACTGTGAGGCACTGGTGGGGAGAGACAGCTTCAACACGGTGTCTGGAGGGCCTTGTAGGTGACAAGCCACAGCTCCTGAAGACAGCTGGGATGCACTGCTACAAGGACAGGCTGTGTGACACCTGCCTGTGATACTGATACCACGATGACGCTGTGAGAGCAGCAGCAAAAAATGGCTCCTAGCTTAACAGCAGTAGCCTGAAACCATTCACTCACTGTCTGCAGTTTTGACACTTTAGGCAAGTCCCACTGGAGATCATACTGGAAAACACTGACAGATTATCCATGTGCAAGCCACCAAAACCTTCAAATTAAACTGCGATACCCCATCTGCTTTCTGCCATCAACAGTTCTGGAATTAATAGCCATTACTAGCTCTGTTCCTGCTGCTGTGATGTTAAAGAAACTGGCTGGGAAGAACATACCAGGGCAGATTACAGGCAGCAGCCCTTGGATCTTCCCACATGTGCTTGCAAGCACATGACGACCTTGCTGGAATGCCTGTATGGTTCATGTTTGTCTGCGGTAAGAGGTTTTTTGATAAATCTGTTGCTCCTGACATATCAAATCTAGTGTTTCAAACCATGGTATCTCACAGATTTGGGCAGCGATTCAACTGCAGTTCTTCTCAACCTTTGCTATATTATTCACAAACGACAGAAAAATCTTCAAGTCACAGAACTTACCAGTGCAACCAGGATTTAATCAAAGGACACTGTAATAATTGCAAGATAGGCAATAATGCTTGCAGTTTTATAGATACCTGCTCAACTCAATAGCATTAACCTTTGGTAAGAAAGTTAAAAAGCCAAGCAAATTTAACATTAAGAAAGGTTAGAAAAATCAATACCACACAGCAGGAAAGAAAACAATAGATTGCATCTGATGAGGATATAACTTTGCTGAATGACAGGATGAGACACCACAGAATTAGGCTTTGGCTGTTCTGTCTCACTAGAGCAGTTATAGGAGCCTCATTGCTAAAGAAGGAGGAGTGTGCCAGACACACATAATAGGATTATTGAACCCTATATTTCAGACAGACACTGAAATCAGACAGGCACTGAAACATCAATCCCAACATCTCAGTGCGTCTCCCATTTTTAGAAATATTATGCATCACAGCATGTTGTGCGTTTGAAGAAAGCAGCATGTAGATGTTCACTCCTCCATGTCCTTATTAATCTCTTTTTAAAAGAAAATAAATGTTTGTTCTTTCTCTAATCATTATGAACGTGAGGATATAATTGTGATAAAGTGCAAATTAGAATGTTTTCTATCTCCAACACCCCACTACGGCAAGGCATTAGAGTCTCTTCTGAAGCCTGTGTCTCACTGTGCTCACTGAAAGTGACACCAATGACATCCAGTCCAGCCTGTGTTCACCTACTGGACTGAGGCTCAGCTAGGAAGCAGGAACCTTAATGCAGATACAGGTAGGTATATACATAATGCTGATGCCAGACACAGGAAAAACACCCAGTCAGAAGTTAAAAAAGTGCATACAGTTTATAGAGCCACTCAAAACCACAGCACACATAAACAGCTAAGTTTAAAGTGGAATAAGTTAAGTTGAACTTCTGAACACTTTCCCTCAGCTGTCCTCTAACCAGCCACATCTGGACACAGCACATCCGGATGTGGCCTTACCAGGGCTGAATACAAGGGAGGATCACCTTCCTCGATTTGCTGGCAACACTTTGCCTAATGCATCCCAGGATACTACTGGCCTTCTAGGCCACAAGGCAACGTTGCTGACATGGTCAACCTGTCCACCAGGACTCCTAGATCCTTCACTGCAAAGCTGCTTTCCATCAGGTCAACTCCCAGCCTCTCTTGGTGCCTGCAGTTACTCCTCACTAGGGGCAGGACCCTGCACTCGCCTTTGCTGAACTTCATGAGGTTCCTTTCCACCCAACTCTGCAGCCCGTCCAGGTCCCTCTCAATGACAGCACAGCTCCATCAGCCACTTGTCCCAGCATCACGAGTGCACTTGCTGAGGCCCTGCTCTGCCCCCTCCTCCACGTCACTGATGGAGAAGCTGAACAACACTAGACCCAGTACTGAGCCCTGGGGGACACCACAGGCCTCCAACTAGAGTTTCTGCCCCTGACTAAAATGACTTGTGAGTTTTTTGAAAATATATTAAAGCATCAGATTGGAAAAAGGGAGAAACAGAGGGAGAAAGAGAGAACGGGAATATTTCGCTTGGGCAACTTATAGGCCTAAAAATGCATACATTTCCATAGTCCCTAAGTTAGTGGAGATGATTTAGTAAGTAGGGACAAAACCATACCGCAGACTAAGCTGTGGAGCTGGTGAATCTGTATGAATTACAAACCAGCAGGGAAAATCATCAGGCAAATCCTTCTGCATTTTGGGAGTTTCAAATACTCCTGAACAACAACTGTTGAATAGTTTGTTTTTGGATCAGTTTAATTATATGAACCGCCTTCTAAATTTTATATTAGAGAACAAAACCAATGAGCGTAATTGGTGAAAATGAGAAAATGATTTGGGATATTTAACTGGCCAAAAATATATAATCAAGTGAAATACATTTTCCTTCAATTTTTTTTGACTCAAGCTCTGGCTAAAGGCTTGGCATCGACGCAATGTTAATACTACACAGATTGCTTGGCCCTTAGCTCCGGCGTGGCTTGACTTGTCCAATTGCACATTAAGCGACACTGCCACTCAAATTAACTAAAGCATTTTATTAATCATGATGAAGTGTGTGCACTGGAAACCAAATAACTGAAGACCATACTCAAGTGAAAACCCCATTATTAAAAAAACGAACACAGGATGTCAGGTTCTGACCATCATTTCTTTCTAACTATGTATAACACCACTTGATTTATTAAACAAGAATTGTCTGCTGACATGAAACAAAATCAGTAACTATATGTAAATATATGCACACCTCCACAAACCAGAAGCTACATGAACTTGTCAAATTTGACAAGCATTAAAAAAGAACTCTGAAGTTGAAACTTTGACTGCAACAGCTGCAGCCTCTCCTCCCTTCCTCCATTTCTATTTTGATATGGAGTTTTTTTTTTCTTCCAAAGTAAATAAATGTTTCCTCTTTTTGTTTTTAATGAGGCAGCATGTGGCTTCTGATGGAGGATAGCTTTTTTTATACTATGTATTTGACATTGAGATAACAGCAATGAAAGAGTTCCTCTGTATTAAT